AACAGCGAAATTTCGGATTTTCAGAAAGAAAAACGAAAATAGGAATTTCAGATGTTGCGATATAGCGATTTTCCACAGCAGAATAGCGAGAAAATAAAATCCGAGAAAAGAAAAAAAAAATCGATTTTCGGTAGTAAGGTCAAGATCGTGATTTTGGGGTCTAACTAGTATGTCCTAATCAAACAGAAAAGACTAACTAGCTTTTTAGTCCCCGCACACGTGTCAGATCAGGTTGTCCTGATTCACGTGAAAGCTCCGATACCAACTGTTACATGCACAGATATGCAATGTACGTAATAACCGAGGAACTGCAATGTGATAAAAAGGACCGAATGGACAATACAGTGCGAGTAGAATCTCGACAGACAATGTGCATTCTCATACATACAAAAAGGTGCTGAATAGCGCAGGGAAGACTTTGATACAAATGCTGACCTGACAGGACTGACCTCATTCACGTAGTTCAGAGTACTGAAGCAGAATGCTAGAGTACTACTAACTAGCCCAGTCAATGTTTGAACTTAGACTAAACATGCATGATATCCATCACTAAGTGTGAAGGAGCCTGGCGCTGTACACAGGAAGAAAGCGCCAGGTCCAGACATACACAGACGAAGAGATAAGGATCAGACGAAAGGAGGGAGAAGGATGGGAATGTCGTTAACACCAAGKCTTGGTCACCRATCCCAAATAGTCCCTCGTTGCCATGTCTGAACCCCCAAAAGTCGAGTCTGGATCRAATGTCACCAAGCTCTGTATCTCTTCTCTCATAGTCTGCAGATGCAGTGAAGTCAGAAGTTGAGAGGGAGAGAAGAGATGGTGGACTGAGAAAAGGAAGAAGAAGAACTCCCTCTCTCTCTCTCTCTCTCTCTCTCTCTCTCTCTCTCTCTCTCTCTCTCTGTTACAAACCAGATACTAACCTGTGATGTTGGCGCTGTGTTGCAGGTACCTCGAAGACGAAGCTGGAGCAACGGCGCTGCAGGTAGGTACCTCTGGCCTCCGCCCAAGCTCTCTCTCTCTCTCTAGTACTACCTAGCTATGGCGCCCAGCGCTGGAGACTACAGCTACCTACTGCGCCCAGCGCTGAAGACTACAAGCTAACGCTACTACTACTACACTGCAGCGCTCCCTCCAGAGTGCTGCTCCCGAATCCTGGACTACAACTGCCGACTGCCTACCTCGGAAGTGCCTGGGAAGTCCTATGTACTACCTCGGCCTGCCTCCTGACTACTGGAGGCCAGTCAGGCCGAGGAGGCAGCTCTTGCCAATGCCGAAGTGTGCCAGGGGCTGGCATGGGAAACAGACTATTAATAGTCTGTTCCCGAAACCCTGGTTCGGTGCCTGAGTTTCAGGGCCGGTCGTTCTGATGAACGACCGAGAATAGCCCATCGTTTCAGGCTAAAAATGCTGTTGCCATTTTTAGTCTGGAACGACACAGGGACAGGCCCTGGAATTCAGGCTTTCGGCCTGAACCGACAGGGGGCCTGTAAGCCCTGGATTTCAGGCTTTCGGCCTGAAATTCAGGATTTTGGCCTGAAGTTCAGGCTTTTACCCTGAACGGACGCAGGCCTGCAAAATGGCCTGCGTGTGCACGTGCAGCATGTAACACCCCCCCCTCCTTATGAAGTCAAGCCGGGGCGAGGGCGAAGCCGTCGATCTGAAGGTGGAACCTGGACGCGGGCGCGGCGGGGAGCCGAAGAAACCGGCTTGCCTTGCATCTTGCGTTCGCAGCGTGCGAGAACGTCTGGAGCTGTTGCTTGAAGTTCCGCACGGGTTAACCAACGGTCAGCTCGGTGTATGCAGTATGCAAAATGCACTAAATACTCAGTTGGCTTATTGCCAAAGCGTCGCTGGGAGATGATGTCGCCGACCTCCTGAAAACCATCCATAGAAGGTGGGTCTTGCGTACGTCTCCCGGGAAAATCGTCATGATCCGCTGGCGTGTAGAGAGCCAGTTTGGAGCAATGAAAGACTGGGTAGACTGGCAAGTGGCTAGGCACCTGAATCGTGAAGGAGGGTCCTTCGGGTGCGTCCCCAGCGGGCTCTATGATCGGCCAAGGCCCCATCCATTTCGGAAGGAGCTTGCGAGAGACGTCTTGTTCAAGGCTGAATTCCGCGGCGGAAACCCAGACGAGGTCCC